TATTTTTTATTAACTTTTTAATCTTTTTGGTTTGTGCTTTGGGTGCCACCTTTTTTTCTGAAATGTAAAATCTCAACCTCAAATCATGTTCCATATAATAAAATGGTTCTTGATTTCAAAGAAAAGTTATAAATTTAAATTTAAGATTTGTTTAAAACCCTTAAACATAAAGACATAAAATACACTTCATGCAAGTTTGATTCTCTTTTAATGTTAAGGTTTTTTTTTTTTTTTTTATAGGAACGTTTTTGTTATACTTGTCCTGACATTGTAAAAGAGTTTAGCAAATATGATTCTGAACCTTCAAAATGGATCAAACAGTATGATGCAGTTAACAATGTCACTAAAAAGGTAATGCTTTTATTATTATTATTATTATTATTATTATTATTTATTTAAATATCTTTAGAGAACGGATTTTTAGTTTATTTTTAAAGTATTATTATTATGGATGTTTTTATTTATTAAAAATATTATTGTTAAGGATATGTTTTTAGAAATTCTCAGTTGATGTGGGTTATGAGCGTTTTCTTGGTCCAGAAATATTTTTCCATCCTGAAGTAAGTTATTCTACTTTTTTAAATTGTTTAAAAACAATACAAGTCAATAAAACCATTTTATTATAAAATTATTAGATAAAATAAAAAAAATAGATATTTTTTTATATCCTCCTCTTTAAATAAGTGTAACATAACACTAAAGCAATCAGTTGCTTTACTTTGCTGGTATGCTTTGTAGGTAGAGCACTTTTATTTTTGAATGACACAAGTGTTTATAAAAAAATTCAATATCACTTTAACTGCAGAAAAATCATAAATAATTACAAATAAAATAATAGCAACCTAAGAGACCTTTTTTTATTTTTTAAATATTTTCTGTTTTATTTAAGATAGCATATTAAGTTTGATGGAATGTCACCTGGGATTCTTTTACTGATAAAGTATTGTTTTGTTATACCAACATGATCTAATCATATTTAAAATTAGTTTCACTTGCTAAAGGTAAAAAAAACGAAATTCTGAACCCCATCCTGTAATTAAAAAAATGAGGGAGTTATTTATAGTTGCAATTCCTGCATGCCAAAGTAAATTTTAATGAAATTTGAAATCTATTGATTATTTTTGGTTTAGTTTGCATCAGTACAAAAAAAAGTTAAAAAAAAAACTTATTTAATGATAGGAAGTTGAAGTGAATCAAGTAATTTTAAAATTTATTTGCATTATTACCACCATCCTATCCAACTTTATGATATCCTCTTTTTATTATATAGCGTTTTTTTTTAACCACAATTTAAAACCATTTATCTTATCCACTGCTCCAATAAGATGTTGTCCAGGTGACACTCCATCAAATCTAATATGTTCTCACTGTTCCACAGTGGCTGTGGACCAGAGAGCATATTAGATTTGATGGAGTGTCACCTGTACGCAAGTTATTTTTATAAAGATATTTTTGTGAGTTAATGTTAGTACAGTTCTGATTTTGGCACGGTTCTGATGTTGGTACTGTTCTGATATATTTTCAAGTTTTAATATACACTTTAGTTTTTAAAATACCTGACATAAGCGGTATAAGAAATCATTTTTTTTTTCAATATTTTACAATATACCACTTAAATTTAATTAACTTTTAAGTTATGGTTTTAAAGCTGTCGATTTACTTTTTGTTTTTTGTCTATTGATGTCAAAGGACTAGTCAATAAACTATTTCAATTATTAGCTTGAATTTATATGTATTTTAGTTTTCAAATCCAGATTTCTCGACATCAATATCTGAAACAGTTGACAGTGCCATTCAAAATTGTCCCATTGATGTACGCCGTGGCTTATATAAGGTATTTTTTTTTTAATAAGTATTCTAAAGTATTTTATTTTAAAATTATATGGTAATTACGTAAGAAAACTTTTTTTTTTCTTTTAAGAATGTTGTTCTCTCGGGGGGTTCAACAATGTTCAGAGATTTCGGGAGAAGGTTGCAACGAGATTTGAAACGCGTTGTAGATTCAAGATTAAAAGTCAGTGAAGAATTAAGTGGTGGCGTAATAAAGGTAATCCAAAAGCTTTTTTGTTTGTTTGTTTTTGATATGATTTATGCCTTTTTTAAATATGATATATACGATTTGGTTTACAGCCTAAGCCTATTGACTGTCAAGTAATAACTCACTCAATGCAACGATATGCAGTATGGTTTGGTGGAAGTATGTTGGCTTCAACGGTATAAAAAAATTTTTTTAATAAAGTTTTTAACGATTACATTTTTTATTCAGTTAAGTATTTAATAATTAAAAAATATTTTCAAACTTTGAAATTTTAGCCTGAGTTCTACCAGGTTTGTCACACAAAAGCACAATATGATGAGTATGGTCCAAGTATAGCTCGACACAACCCAGTTTTTGGAGCAATGTCGTAAACGTAGATACCAAGTTAAGTTGGCGAGTATAAAAGAGAAATTTTGGAAAAATTTTAGTTTTTCCTTTGAATCGAGTAATAATAAATATATATTGAAAGGTTTTTCGGTTAATTTATTTAGATTTTTTTTTGTCAGACATTTCATAGGTTATTTTTATATTAGTGTTAACTGTACTTTTCTACTCAGAGCTAAACTCCGTGTAAAATATTTAAATCGATTGTTTTTTTAGTTTTATGCTTAGTTAGCACCTTTTTTTTATTTATTCAGAAAACATTCTTTTTCAGTAATTTTCTTAACCCTAAATTTTCTTTAAAAGCTATTCTTACGAATTTTCATTGAAAAAAAAAACTTTTATTCTGAAAATTTACACTTTTTCTAGTAATTTTATGTTTAATTTTAGTTTTGAAAGCCATCGTTTTGTCGGTGTATTTTCGTGTATACTTAATCTTTTTATGTCCAGCTATATTTTTCAAAAAAAAAAATTTTGTTTTTTTTTTTTGCCTGAAAATAAATGGCTTAAACGTTTTGAACGTTTTTTTTTTTGAACGAGTCTTTTAGAAACTCGTTGGAGATTTCTTTTATTAATTTTTTTATCGAGTTTTTTCGAATAAAAATAAAACTTGCATTTTTAACTATTCAGAAAAACATTTTTAGTTGTTTGTTTTTTTTAAATTGGTTTTAATAAAGTGAATCAAGATATTAAAATAGATAATAAATAATATAATATAACCCTATAATGAGAAAAACATAAAGCCGACATAATTTTCAGTGTCGTTGTTGCTACTTTTTACAAAGCAATCAGTTTATGAATCATCATCTCGAAATCAATGCGGTATTAAAACTTTCTCAAGCTATGACATCACACTTTTGGGAACACTCCTGTCAAATAACATCATTAAGCTGTTGCGGAGAAATGGGATATGTATAATATTTTTTAAATTTGCTTTAATTATAGCAAAGCAATATTTTTACAATTTAAAAATGTCTTTTAAACAATTTACAGGAAAGGGCTTACTTATTTTATAAACAACGCTATTTTTATCGGTATTCAAAATCATGCTTACTCTAGCAAAATCTCATGAAAAAAACTGCATTTTTGTTTTTCTTTGTATGAACAAAGCTAACAGAGAGGTAACACCTTATAATTGAAAAATAAATTTTCAAGAGTTTCCAGAAGAATTTGTGATGGATGTCCTTCAGCAATGACGAGAAAATATGAAGATAAGGACAAATAATCCAATTCCAATCAATTTTGAAGGAATTTATCCAAAGATGTCGAATTGTTTGCTTAAGCTCAATAAAATACATCCATTATATATCTGCAAAAAATTTGAAAGTGAAATAGTGTCCACGGGCTTTCTAAATGCTTTTCAATTCTTGGAAATGTATTCCTCATCTTTGTAATGAGTATATATTCCGAGAATACTTGCTGCAAAATTTCTGATCAAATAGCTGCCATAGTTATTAGCCAAAAAAAAAAAGCATCACCACGTGGGACTTTTTTTTTTTTTTTTTTTTTTATTTGTATGTATTTAGGTGCTCCCAGAAGTCCTTATGGTCTTATTATAAAGCACCGCGGGAGAGCATTTTAACAGGAAGTTCACGTCTCATTCCGTACCAATGTCGCTTGTTGGGCTAGAGCTGGCGTCGAACCTCTGGATTCTGAGCCAGAACTCTAACCACTGCGCCACGGCTGCTTTTCTTGTTGGTCAGGCTAAAGTTGGTAGACCTTTGCATTGACACCAGATAATTTTATGAGCAATGGTAGCGCATTTGCCTCAGAAACGTAAGATCCGTGGTTCACACCCCTTCTCCGCGTAAGTTTTGTGACATCGGTTGGAAAGGAAGTGTGAACTTCCTATTAAATGCACTTCCGCGGTGCTCTGTGATTAGACCATAAGGACTTCTTGAAACCTTTAAAATTTCATTTTATAATATATGTAATAAGTTTTAGTTTATTCTAGTTTTCTTTTATTTAGGCTTATCAAATGCTAAACAACTTTTAAGAGTCCCACAAAAGTGATTGCACAAGGTCTTCCTCAAATTCAAATTAATACAGGAATGTCCAACGTTGAAAACTTCTTTAATTAGGTAACAAACTTGCAAATTTTTTACACATTTAAAACTTTAAACAGTGGAAGAAAAAGGGTCAAAAAAAAAAAAAAAAACATCCACTGTTTAATCAGACTTTATTTAATAGCTAGACTATGTTCTTTTGAAAAGAAAGATATTTTTTTCATATCATTAAACTTGGAATAGATAGTGGTGCAGGATTTCAAAAATTTTATCTTGTGATTGTAGGAACAGATACAAGACCTGATTATAATTCATCACCAAGAAAGCGACTCTTAACCACAAAGAACTATGTGTAAACAAAATAAAACAATGAGCTTCGCGCTTTTTTAAAAAGTTAAATCAATCAAAACACACACATAATAAAACGGCATTTTTTGAAAACGAAGTGCCTAAACGCTATATTTTTCTTTGGATCTCTCTATAGGATAAAAATTTCTCAAAAAACACAAAAAAACACAAATCTGCACCTTATATCACCAAAAAATAAACCATACAAAAAGTTAATAAAAAGAAATGAGTTATTATTTCAAATATCCCTAGTTGTGTGTTTTATAATAAAGTTATAAATAGTTGAAAATAAAAGTTTATAAATATCTATTAGAAATGAATAAAAGTTCACTGAAAAATTATTAAATATCAAAATAAAATATCGTTGTATGAACCCACCCAGTGGGCACACGACGTTATTTCGACGTTGATTTACAGTTAATTTTTAGTCGCGACGTCGTATAACCAAAAATCAACGTTGTATCAACGTTGAAAAATTTGTTTAAAACTATCAAATAAAATCGACGTTGATTCCACGTTATTTCAACGTATATTACGAGTTCGACCGTAGGTAATTGCAATATGAGAACTAAAACACGCATGCGTGACTTAAAATATTTTTTATTAGCTTAACAAATAACAAGTAAAGACTTAAAAAGTTACTTATTAGCCCAATAAAAACAAGTAAAGTCACACATGATAATAAATTAGGCCATCTGTTGCTTTTTTATAAGGTTTTGAATTTGACAATTTAACAATAATACATGGCTTAACTTGTGATGCATTTAGTAAGGTAAATATTAAATTGATATTTCTTTATGACCGTAATATTTCATGAGTGTGGATTACAAGTAGAGATTACTTGATATATTATATAAATATAAAATATATATTATATATGTTTTTCTTATATATATATATATATATATATATATATATATATATATATATATATATATATATATATATATATATATATATATATATATATATATATATATATATATACATATATACATATATATACATATTTATATTATATATATATATATGTATATATATATATGTAATATAATATATATATATATATATATATATATATATATATATATATATATATGTATATATATATATATTTATATATATATATATATATATATATATATATATATATATATATATATATATATATATATATATTATATATTTATATATATATATATATATATGTATGTATGTATATATATATATACATATATGTATGTATATATATATATACATATATGTATGTATATATATATATATATATATATATATATATATATATATATATATATATATATATATATATATATATATGTATATATATATATATGTATATATATATATATATATATATATATATATATATATATATATATATATATATATATATGTATGTATGTATATATATAATATATATATATATATATATATATACATATATATATATATATATATATATATATATATATATATATATATATATATATATATATATATATATATATATATATATGTATATATATATATATATGTATATATATATATATATATATATATATATATATATATATATATATATATATATATATATAAATAGGGAAGAGTTACCCTAATTGGAACAGTTAAGGAATAGTTATTTATTAACCTAAGATGGCTTTTTACTAACTAATTGAAAGTTTTATTGTGTTGAATTTGTGTATGAAAATGGATGATGTTTTACAAAATAATGATTTATCAAGCTTTTTTACCAATCCATGTGATTTAAAGAGTTTAAATATTTTTTATATTAAAAAAATTTTATTAAATTTTTAAAGATTTTTCTTGTAAAGTTGTATAAAAAAGAATTTGTGCTTGCTCCTTTAGTAGGTTGGTAGAAGGATCAACATAAAAATTTAGCAATTTTTAACAATTGTATAATGTATCATAACATACAGTTTAAAGTTGTATTTTTCTGTTAGCTATTTTACATGAACAAATTTTTAATATATTAGTATTTTTTCTATTATATTTTCTACTATTCTTTTCCAGTTAAAAAAGTATAGTTGGGCAAGCAAAATGTTCATTCGAGCTGTTTGGATAGAAAATACAGAGAAATAAAGTGAGAAAAATCGATCGATAATTTTTATGTGCTGGCTATCATCATTAAATGTAATAAATTGTTTCAATGAAATGCATAAACCGCATCTAACTAATACAGATTTACGCTGCTCAAAATTAAATGTCATGGAGATAATGTAATTTTTTTTTATATAAACATTAAGTCATTACTTTTTTTCCTTGTTTTTTTGACATGATTTCATTCTGTTTATGTTGTTTTCAGTGTTTAGATATATTCTTTATTATATATTCTTTATTATATAATGTATTTAAAATCATGAGTTTTGTGATAAATTTAAATTTGCCACTACTAGTGATACTCAGATAGAATCAGATTCAGAAAACGGTAACTATTTTAAAAGATACTTAATTCAAGTATTATTAGTTTTATTTTGATATTAATTTTTATAGGAGCCACTACCATGCTTATGCAAGAGAAAACATAATAACTAACAGAATAGTAAGCAACTACCTACTCCTGTAACGCAAAAAAAGAAACAGAAAACAATTTTTATGCATACTCCACATAGGTATTAATTGTCTGTCTGCAAGTTGATTTAGGAAGAAAAGATTTTGAATATTTTTTTCTATGCTTCAGTGATATACACATTTTATTGGTTGCTAAATTAATACATTTTATTTAATTTATGAAAAATGTTTTATTTTATAAATGTTTTATTCTTGTGTTTCAACGCTTATAGAAATTAATTAATGTTTGGTTCTTTTGTCTTTCTGATATATCTTTATTGTTAGAAAGAGATGTTAGTAAAAACTCTTTCCAGTAATTAAAGTAATATCATGACAAATAGTTCTGAAATTCTATGGATGAACTTGCAGCAGTAATTTAATGATTATGATAACAGTTTAAATGATTCTTGGGTGAGGTCAGAAGTGATGGGTTGTTTCAAACCATGACTTTTTGCAGTTTTTTTAATTGTTTTTTGAAAAAGTATTTATTAATAACTTAGCCTAAGTTAATCTACTTGTAACTTTTTATAAATGTACTATAAAAATAATGTGGTGTAATTATTTTCTTAAAC